ATTTATCGACCTATTTGGTCTAAAGATTATCAAAAAACTATTAAATTTATAACAAAATTCAAGTCCTCCATGGGCGCGTGGCAAAATTATCAAATTCAATTGGATTATTATTTTTTTTCTGAGCCTAGTCAAAAAAGTTTCATAAAATAAGATCGTGAAATCCATTTTGTACACATTCGAGAGAGTTTCTCTACCGCGATATTATCGCCATTCATTACAACATTTTTAAGTTAAAAAATGTTTCATTGTGATTCCGTAAATTTCTAAACGCTTTAATATTTGGATTTGTATATTCGACTCCTATGGTTCTGGGCTTTTTTGTGCTTTGAGCGTTTCTCTGAAGTTTTCTTCGAACAGTTCTTTTCAGAGCTACTTTTAACCGTTCTTTTAGGACTGCTCTCAGAACAATACTACAGAAAATTCTATTATCTGTACTATTTTTGATCGTGAATCTTAGAATTTGATTTTGAATATGTCCAGTATACACGGTGATAGATGTTGCAATCCCTACAATGTGGAAGGTCACAGAGGGAAAGATCTTCGACGCATTTCGAGTGTTATAAAACGATTATTCCCAAAATTTCCAGATAATGCTAAAATTTGTGCTGCATGTAGGAAAATGAAATATCCTCGCATGAATGAAGATACGCACGTCTCATCGAGTCTTGATAAAACGTTTGATAATTGTACTCATGATACTGAACAGAATATTTCTGTATCTTCCGGTGCATCTTCATTATCTTTCAGTGGAATTGAATGCAACATAAAATCACAAAGAGAGATTGAGTTGGATATGTTGAGTGGATTGAAAGAAAAATTTTCCACTCTTGAAATTAATGATTCTTTGAGATTGACAATTTTGACTGTAGTACCAGATGCATGGAGTCTAAGTCAAAATTCTCGGGAATTCAACTGTTCTAGGTATTTTGTAAAAAAAGCTAAAGAATTGAAAGTGTTACGTCCTAACCTGGAGGGAAAGGGGCGGGTCAGGTATACGGACGAACGCAACAATAAAAGTATAAATTTGTGGTGTTTGCTCGCTGGTCGGTATGAGGAGAGGCGACCGCGCGAGCCGAACGATTTTCCTTGGCTGAGAACAGGTCAACGATCGTAAAGATCGATATTACCCTGTTAGAGGCCTCAACCAATCGTTCGTGGTTCCGTTTTCTGATCAAGAGACTTAACTCCTTTTACCAAGGATGGAACCTCGTGTGATTTTCAAAGGGTTAGGGGGGGGGTAGAAGAGGAAGGCGAGAGGTCTTACAACTAATTTAATTATGAAGGTTTTGACTTACTACTTGGATGTCCTGGAAATATATCTGGATCCTCTTGGGTCGTTCAGTGGTCCGTATTCACGTCGATGTATAATGAATATTGCTCGGAGGTTGGTTTAATATGTTGGAGAAGCAATTGCCGCGCGCGGTACTTCACTCCTCCGCGACGAGTTTTGGATTTCGGGATAAGAAAGGAATTTTATGTTAGTCCAGAAATTCCAGGCGTAAAGCGTGCGGTGGGCCGCACCACGATACGCGGGGATACAGAAATCGATACCACGTGCGGTGGTCCGCACCGAAAATATCGATACTGAGTGCTGATCTGAAGAAACAATTAGGAATAAGGCGGGGGTAGGTTGAATGTGTGAGAAATGGTTTTAGTCGAAATATTGTTTAACAAACACGTTTACTATAATTATTGATATACAAGCACTTTGAGATACAATCGGTTTTTCTAATATTTTAAGGTATGAACTAAGATTCGATTGAGCTGGATTCAGAGATGTTGAGAGAACTATATTAACTGCTTAACTGCTGCTTTCACGGGTGGGTGTCTTCCTTTTATACTCGAAATTTTGGGTTTTGGAAGGGAGACATTCCTTCCGAGGGGTTGTTAATAAAAATAAGATAAAAAAGGTTGTTTGAAGATTAATAGATGGATTGCTCGAATGACATGTATATCGTTCCGTCGGCTTTTCTGTCGGCGAAAATTCAAAGTCTACTATCGCGGTCGCGTGTCTTATCTCGACAAATTTTCGATTGAAGGCCTAAAAGATTATTATGGTACATTCGGGATCTTAAATCAGTAGAATAATATTCTCGGAACGTTTCTTTGAATTTTCCCGACTGGTCGTGAGAAACTTATGCAAGGGAAAGGTCCGTACAGGACGTAACAATATATATATTTATGTACACTCAATAACAGAAATGGCTCAACACAAGAATTTATATATATGCATAAATTCATGCGTTGTGGCATTTCTGTTGTTGAGTGTACATATAAATATATATATATTAATTACATTATTAAGTGAAATAGTATAACATCGATATTGTGTTACTGTTAGCTTGTGTTTAATAAGTATATTTATAATTTTAATTTAAAAAAATTTTTTTTTTTTAATACATTTAATACGTTTTATTTTTTATTTTTCTTTACAAATAATAGATAGTTATAAATAAGTAGTACAATAGTTTTTTTTTTAGTTTTGAAAGTACAACTGTACAGTACTCAGCGTCGTGCCGTACGTTTTCTTAAAGAAGTTAATCGTCTCAAACTTCAGCAACTGTGCTCTATATATCGCTCGCGAACACAATAGCAGGGAAATGGAACAGATCAGTATAACGAGTAAATTCAATAGAGTTCTAAGCGCAGATTCAATGCGATTGTCCGTAATATATCGGGTATAGCCTTTGCACTGCAGTTTTCTGACCTTGGCGTCCAGCAAAAGCAGCATTTGTCCGTCAAAATCGCGGTTATCGAAATCAATCTTGATGTTAAAGCGATAACAATCGGGAGGCGTCATTGGGAGGCAGCTGAGTACAGTAGTTTTGATAGTATAATAATTAATTATTTTCTAGATCACCATCATTTGCATCGTCTGTATTATCGATTGCATTGTCTTCTACTACTTCGCCAAACAAGTTGTTATCTGCTGCATGTCGCAATCTCTGTCGTTGTCCTCTTCCTCTTTCACTCATTCTTTTTGTTACATTGCGATTTCTTTGTTTTCCAAAACGTACTGCCTCTCCCACTTCTCTGAAATATTCGTCACGCAATGGTTTTCCAAAATGTGAATTCCTGCATACAGCATCTGTAAATTAAAAATAACATTAATTTGCAATTTATTGTATAAAATAAAATATTCTATATATATTTTAGACAAGATAACTTTTTTCTAATATAAGAGTTTATGTATGTATAAATGTGTGTGCGTAATACAATGTATATTTTAAAAGATTAATCAATGCAAGTAATCAAATCACAATTTATTTTGTATAACAACTTAGTATTATACATGCAATACATTATATTAAGCCAAAAAAACTTACCATATATTGCTTTAATTAATTTAGTTTCAAACAATAGAAGATTTCCGCGCTCTCCTCAAGCTGAGTAATGTTAAATTGCATCATCAGTTATTGCCTCTTTCATATAATATTTTATTGCATCGTGTAGAGTGAAGCCGCCTGCAAAATGTAAATACTCGACCTGAAATAAAATCAATTGTAAATTAGAAAAAAATTATTTATATTAGTTTTGTTATTATTACAGAAAATTTGTATTTTTGTTTTGTAATTATTCCATGTTTTATAAATTTGTGGAAAATTTACCGCATTTTCGTATTCTTCATCTGTAATATTATTGAAATCTTCCACTTGTTGAATCGATTGCAGCGAAAATGAAGATGGTTTAAAAGGCATAATGTTTATTCGTTTGCGCAATAATTTGTCTAGTTTTTTATTTATAGTTCTGTAAACATAGTGTATAATAATTGTTTGATATTTTACATATAGTGCTTATTTCATAATTTACAATATATAGAATGTTCTTAAACCACCAAGTAATCCTTTAATAACTTTATAAATTAATATAAAATGTAATATAAAAATTGTCAAAACTATAATATAGTTTTAGTAATAGTTTTTCTACTAGAAATAATTATATTTCAGAAATAATTATATTGAATGACAAGGCGGAAGTTTCGCGTACTCAGGCACGGCGCAATGACAAATGACATAAATGTTGATATTTATAAATAAATATAGGATATTTTTATCATTTGCAATTCTTATTCGTAAAATATAACAATTTTCCGTTTAAAAACTATTACTATTCGATATTTTTATATTAAAGTTATTAATTATCGTTTTAGAATTTCCTAAAGATTCAACCATTAAAAGATTATCCAATAGTTTTGGGATATCGTGTACATAAAATTCTTAGAAACTTATTACAAAATTTATAATAGTTGAAGCCTCCTTTGATAAGGCATCAAATGGTATTACTTATTAAATAACATCATCTCATATAATTATTTTCAAATATTTACTCACTGATAATGTTTATTCATTTTCTCGCGTAGAAACCTAAAATAATTTAAAAATAAATATTACAATTATAAATGCAAACGTAATTGTTTATAATTAAAATATAAAATAATTATTACATAAAAATTTTTTCATGAGCTTTTGATAGACGATATTATAAAATTTATAATTAATATATTAAATAAAAATAAATTTATAATTATATTATATTAATATATTAAAATATTATTATATTAAAATTTTATAATTAAAATATAAAATAATTATTACATAAAAATTTTTTCATGAGCTTTTGATAGACGATACTATAAAATTTATAGTATCGTATTTCTGGACAATGATTTACGTGAGGTTGTGAGACAGTTTCTTGACATATCATGCATTCTATCTTTTCTTCCGTTACAATGTCATTTGTGTACCTTAGATATTTCCACTGAGTTTCGTAGTTATCAGATGCATTTTTTAGTTCTTCAAGCGAGTGAATATTAATATGCGTGTTCTTTATGTGTTCCTTAAATTGTGTATTCTTGATATATACTACTTTGTCTTCACAAAATTTAAATTCTGCTTGAAAATCACCAGCATTTATGTAACATTTTTGCAACCAGCTGTTTTCTTGAATATAAAGTTTCCAGCGGTTTTCGGCTTGTTGTAGTCTTTCTATATTGGCTGAATGTTTATTTTTGATATGTTTTTTTAAAATGGATGTGTAAAAATTAACTCTTATATTTTCTTCACAAAGTGTACATTCTACCATATCTTCATGTCTTGCATATTTAAACACCCAATCGTCAAATTCATGAGATGTTAGTTCTTGTGGAGAATGTTCTCGTTCTATATGATTCTTTGTTCGCGCGCGCGCAGCGTTAGATTGCGCAAAAGTTGTCCACATATGATACACTCTATTTATCTTTTTACTTCTCGTTTCGTAAATCGAAAGTATCTCCAGTTTTTATCCCGTGCCATTTCGTTAGACTTTTCAGTGTTATAAACAAATGTATGTGTCTTCATGTGTCGGGTAAGCGATCGCGTCTCGACATATGTTAATTTTAATTTGCACAATCGACATTTTATTTGCATTTGCGCAGGCTTTGTATAACATTTATTAAAAAATTAATGCTCTTCTTTTTGATATTTCCACGACTGTGTTTTTAATGACTTTGTCACTTGCCACTTTTTGTTATGATCCTTTTCAACATGTTCTTTCATTTTTTGTAACTGTATTGATAATTTTACAGTTTCTGGTTTATTTGCACAAAGCCTGCTGCATTCAGCAGAAGAATCTCCAGTTTTTTTCATGTATTTCCAATCCCAATGTTCGTCTTTTTGGCGTCCTAGATTTTTTTCTAGTTTTGAATGTTTTTCTATGTGTTTTGATATACTTTCATTTAATTCAGTTGGGGTGATGTCACATAAAATACACTCTTCTTTTTTTTCTGTTGTTAGCCTATAATATTTTCATTGCACGTTTGCCTTCTGACTTTCTTCATACAGATAAAAATCTAAATGTTTTTTTTGCAAATGATCCGTAAATTTATTATTTTTTTCGTACCGCACGTATTTATAAATCTTTTTGCAAGATGGTACTCGACACTGTACTCTAAAGTTTTTTTTATTATATAATGTTTCACTACTGTTGGGTTTGATCGAACTAGTTTGTCGCAAGACATTGTGATCTGTTCTGTATGACAGAACGTATTTAACTGAACGCGATGCGAGGAATATTTTGTTGAAAAGTCCTTGATAGAAGCGATCGAGGAAAGAGACGTACAGTTTTTCTGTTTGAATGTAAATACTAACACCGTTTAAACCTACCTAACAGTTTTCAAGACAAGCGGTAGGATCTGATGCGAAATATGTAAATATAGTAAACGATTTCGGAGGAGCAAGAGCGCTCTCGCGCGCGATAGAGTGTGAAAAGGCGGGAGGAAAAGAGAGCGAGATCGATGATATGGTCGAGAAAGAAAGAGGGGCAGAGAGAAGCATTACAGTGCGTTCGTTACGCAGATAAATAATGTTTTGAGAAATAATGAACAAGACAATAATGAAGATTATAGTTAATATAATTAATATTATGATCTATATTATTGACTACATAGATAAAATAGGAGCATTTTTCTAATTTATTGATACATATATAAAATATATAAGATATAATATTGCAATTGGTACATTTATTGCAGAAATATAAATACTTGCATGCCTGTTTTTTCATCTCACTTATATTGTACAATTTAAAACAATACACTTTTACACAATAAAATAAAAATTTTAAAATCCATGACGTAGAAAAACGATTAGTGTCTCACTTCGATAGCTCGGTATTTATACGTCCAGCGTCTCGAGCGATATAATTTGTTTAATCAACATTCTAATAACGTATAGAACTCTTCATAAAAATGAAAAGTGATTACAGACTGACACGAAATGTCATTTCAAATCGATAGAACTATTGACGTACGTCTTACCTCTATACTAAAAAAAATAAGCGTTTTTCAAGAAAATAATTATTTAAAACAAATTCTAATTGTTTCTATCATCAGAACTCTTTGGAAAGGCATTGTGCATGCCCAGAAATATACGAAAACTGATTTATAATAATTGTAAAGATTTCAAACATTCGTTACAAAGAGAAATAAAATAAAGATCACAACAAATTTACGCCGCAAGACCACCGCATATCATTTAAAGATTTCGAACGTTTTACATATGTATCAATAGACTTCAGTAAATTTCGGAGTTATAAATTAAAACTCAAGTAAGATTTTTTAATTTATAACTCCGAAAATTAACTGAAGTGTATTGATACATATGTATGTAAAACGTTCGAAATCTTTACATATATGTTTATTCATTGCAAAAAATATAGTTGTTCCGCATGTTTTGCAGATAAACATGCACGTGTGTCGGTTATTATATTTTCTGCGCAACTAAACACACGTTCAGATGGAACGCTGGTACCTGGTAGTATGAAATATTTTTCCGCAATACATAAATTTGGAAAATCTTTTGAATGATCGTTCCATCAGAGTAGTGGATTCTTTTCTAAATCTGTTATTGGAGATTTGATATACTATTTTAATTTTGTATCCATCAACTCCTCGAATGTCTTAGTTTGTCTAGCCTGTTCTGGTTGTAAAATAGCCGTTAATCCTTTGAAACAATTATTTTCTTTATTTAATACATTAGACGAACACGTTGAAAGATGTTTTTCTAATCTTCGCGGTTGGAGTTGCATAATTTCCAATTTGATTTTAGTAACAAGATTAATTGTTTCTTCAGGTAAATAATTTGATTTAAATCGCGGATTTAAAAAAGGTGCCGTTTGAATAACATTTTTTATTTCTGGCTTGTCATACTTTTCTTTCAAGCATTGACAAATAATTTGTTTTATTTCATTTGATAATGCATGATCAATATCACAGTATTTTGTTGTCATTATTTTCTGATTCGTCCGTCACGTTACTTAATCACTAATACTTAATTTGCCGGTTATAGTTAAATGTATGGGATAAATTGCTGATGATGTTACATAATATTTGCCGCACATATGTTGGCAGATTTGTTCTAATGGTTCTATTATAATTACTAATGTGTTTTACACTTTTAATTCCTCGACGGTTAAACAGTAATTATTGTATTTATTTTTTCGCGTTTCTGAAAATAATGATTAATGTAACATGTTGCTCTATTACTAATAAATGTTTTTCAGTAAACCTGTAATGTTTTATTAATAAATACATCTTTATTTGCTATGCATTTTAATGCAAAATTTACGACAAATTCAAAAAGTTTATACTTTACTCTAATTTCTAATTTTCCTTTTAGCGATCTTATTATTCCCTGGTAGAAAGTGCCACGCTAGATCCTGATGTCTAGCTAGCTCCTATCTTGACTGTCATGTTGTATCCCTATTTAATATAATAAATTTAGTTTTGAAGTGGCGCGAATCAGCGTCAAGCTATTTCTAACGAGGTGCTAGAAATATACTATGTTAATAATGTCTAATTAGAAGTAGTCTGGCGCTAGTTTTTTCCAGACTACTTCTAGTCAGGGCTATTCAAGGCTGGGAAAAGATCATTTCTGACATGAAATATGACATTTCTGGCATAAAATATGACATTCGGAATTAGTTAGGCTAGGAATCGAGAGATTTATGTACTGCAGTCTGCAAATATATCTAAATAATCTAGACGTTTTAAAATGGATAAAAATTTGAAATTATTCTCTGCGAGATACAGAGCTTCCAAATATAGAAATACTTTAAAATTGAAAAGACACATTAAACAAATTAGTATTAATAGGCAAAACAAAAAATTGAGGAGCGGCGTGGAATCAAAAATAAAAGAGCATTGTAGCAATTCCAATGATTTAAGAAAAGAACCTGTATTTGACACCCAAGAATCTATTTCAGTTTCTGAAAATAAAATTAATAATCAAGACAC